TGTTACAAACAATATATGTTAGAAGTAAAATGTGAGATTGGTTATTCCAGGAAGCTCAAGAGATAATCGGCCTCCTTAGATAATCATGATTTATACTGTGTGTGCTTATAAAACATATATTTTACTTAAGTTAATCTTAAGTAAATCTTAAATCTTATCTTAAATCTTAAGTCTTCTTTCATTTTTAGGGAAAATCTTACCCAAAATTCTCAACTAGAAGCACTAGAATTTCTTTTAATGGTGTTTTTTGTTTTATTTTGTCTTACTGAATTGTCGCTGAATTAGGTACTGAATTTGTTCCAAAAAGTATTGTCACTAAAATAGGGGCGTAAAACTAATAATGCCCACGATTCTTAAGTTAATTCATTAAAACTCTCAAAAATTTGGAGTGCACAAAAACCCGGAATGTAACTTACGTGCGGAAAAATTAAATGCATTTCTAAAAAATAGTTCTGTGACAATTTTTTTTAGAATTAAGTTTAATGGAATATATGTTTCTTCACTTTAATAATTTTAGTTAGAAAATACTTTTCTGTCTGGTTATTCTATTGTTTTTTTTTTAAGATTTTTAAAAAAATTTTAAAACAGATGATGTTGAAATTTGTCAAAAACTAAAATTCAGGTTTTAAAAATGACCACATTTTATTTTTTTCCCCTTTGTTGTTCAGGCATTCTCACCTATGATATAACAACTTTTATCCCTCAATGTTATCCCTCAAATAATTACTTCATTACTTTTTAGTAAGTTGCTGAGTTGAATTCCTTCCTCAATGGCTATAGGATACACACAAACGTTCCCATCTACCCCCAACACACAGAACACACATTTGTCTCCCAAGTTTTACACTTTACACCATAGTATTTATTGTCACCCAATGTGCTACATATTTTGCATATTTCTCTACTGTTGTCCATCAAGTCCTAGAAGACATCAAACTCCTTGCAGGGAGTGATTTTGTCTGCTTGGTTCTAGTGCCAATAATGATGTCTGGAACATGGATGGATGTTCCAGAAATGTTTATTGAAAGACACAATAAAATGCCTCTGGAATTCTGCCCTTGATCTGAAAGTGTTATCTTTGTACCTTACCTTACCCTTACCTTCCAAGATCTTATCCCTCTTGCCTTTTCATCATGGTTCAGCCTGGTATGAATCTGTTCTCTCCTTGTCTTGAAAATCGTCAACCCTGTTTTGGATACAGGTACAGCTGTCACTCATTTGCATTGATTGAAAATTTTCCCTTCCATTGACCAGTAAGAACTACTATATGATTGAGAAAGTAGAGTCTTAATCACTTACGGATACATACCGTTGAGTGAAGACTGTACTCTCTTGGAGAAATAATACAGATACGTGTTAATCATAAAAATTGAACCAATGGAGGGGAGTGAAAAGTAAGTGCGATGAAAACACAGCTATGGAGGGTCAGAGAATGCCATAACAGGGTCCTCTGCTGAAATCAAGATGTAGGCTGGGGTGTGATCTGATTTGAAGCTTACAGATGTTTTCCAAGCTTACCGGTTGTTGGTAGAGTCTGTTTCTTCGTGGCTTTATGATGGAGGGCTGTGTTTCCTGACAAATATTGGCCATATTTCACTCTCAGCTCCTGTGGGCGTCCCTTAGGCACTTGCCAGGTGGCTTCTACCCTCACAAGTTTACTTCTTCAAGGCTGGGGGGATTGATTTGTACTGCCTTTCTTTTAACAGCTCTCATGATTAGGTCCGACTCTCAAGTAAAATCTTCTTTCTAGTGAACTCAACCCCATATGAAGAAGATCCCTTGTTATAGTTGCATCATTTATTTTTCCATAAAACTTGAATTCCTGGGTTGGTATCCGAAGCAATTCACAGGTGGCTCACACAGTCGAGGGAAAGGAATTATACAAGAGTGCAGGTCATGGGACAGAAATCTTGAGAACATCTTGGAATTCTACCAAAGCTGTTGTTTTTCAAATTCCTCAAAATATATCTACATTTCCACACAGCATCATCTAGACCCATGCTGAGGCCTGGAAAATACTAGGGAGCTATTGTTTTGCATTTTAGGTCAAAATTGCTTATTCCTCTTTGAAATGGAAAAAAAAAATTAGCAATTAATCTTTTATGTACTTTTCCATGACCTGGTCTCCAGCAAAGTAAGAGCTGAGAAAGTGGCTAAAAATAAAGATGAAATAAAGGTGATCTTTGCCCAGTTCCTCCTTGATACTCTGAAGAACAACTAAATATATTATATTGTGCTTCCCCATAGTTAGCTCTCTTACCATGCAGCTCCCTACAATGTCAACTGTTCCCTGCAAATTCCAGTCTTACTAAATTTACTTTCTTGAAACACCCTTAGAAGCAGGGAGTTACTCAATTAAATTCTTTTAAATCAATCATTTCCTTACTTTTCTAGAAAGGTTCATAAAATCAAATGGACCCCAAGCAATGCCATAAAGGTTTCTACTTATTGTGCAAGAGCCAAATTAACTCAACTTCCTAATAATGGAATTCTGTCATAGAAGATGATTAATTTTCTAAGAATAAAAAATAATCCTATTTGTTCTATACCTAATTCTAATATTAGAGTTTTCGTTGGTTGTAAAGTTAGATGAATTTCCTCCTTCAGCACCACCAGCCCCAACCCCCAAAAGTAGAGGTAGTTAGCCCGGTTTGGATCAGTCAGCTAGAGAGAGGTCAGTATTGATTCTCTTTGCTGTTTCTGGCTATTCATTTTTATAAAATGGCATTTTCCAGGGTCAGGGTCATGAAGAAGTAAGGCCATCTAGGATATTATTATGGCATTTCTCTTAGAATGTTCTTTAATTCTTTGATTACTGCACAATATAAGTTTTCAGTCTCAAAATAATCTATGTGTACAAAAAATTTCATCTCACTCCCTGACCACCAAATATTTGCCTGCTATGCAAGGTCAGAAGTTCTGGAAAGGCACAGACTATGTCTTGATATCCTGGCATCAGGACAAAGAAAAAGTGTGGAAAAGTTTTCAACCTTCTCCTTCCATTTCTGGCTTGAAATGGACTTTGAAGTGGGCATCAGTCCATCGGGTGGGTGTGGCATGTTATCAAGTAGGTAAATAAATGGCAGATCTTGTCTAGAATGAATTCTCCTAACCATGCAGATAATCAGGACCATTTTAATGTCTAGGAGAAATTGGAGAGGGAAAAGGGAAACAGTTGGTATTAGCTCCTATGTTCTAGGCCCACAAAAGGAGCACTTATAAGGTAGGACAGCTCAATTTGCTTTCTAGGCAAAAGGATCCAAGGTGTTAAAGTCAAAGTAGTTTTACTTTAGAAAATAGGAGTCACCAAAAAAGAAAAAAAAAAAAAAAAGAAGAAGAAGAAGGGGGGGGAGGAGGAGGAAGGGGAGGGAGGGGGAGGAGGGGGAGGAGGAGGAGGAGAAGATGATGAGGGAGTAGAAGAAGGAGCAGGGGGAGAAGGGGGGGAGAAGAAGGAGATGATGATGATGGGGTCACTATGATGGAAAATTATGTTAAACATTCATAGAGCATTTAGAATTTACAAAAATTCATGATCTATTTCTATTCAGCAATAGCCATAATATCAAGCATGATGTATTATACGTGCCATTCTTTACTGTTACCAGCTAAAAGATAAGTTGTAATTCCTAACAGAAAAGAGAAGAAAATGAAGAAAATCAATATTATATCGATAGAATATGCAAATAACTAAAAATATGGAAAGTAAAAGAGAACATTGAGGGGAAAGCAGATAAAAGCTCGAACAAAAATTTCGTGAATTGGATAAAATAGAGGAATAATTAAAGGGAAAATAAATATGGATTCCCCTGAATGAAGATTATTGTGAGCAAAACTTAAATGCCACATCTAGGAGGTATTTGCTCTAATAAACTCCGTGGACTTGTGAGAGTTTTTGAGGATTTCACAGTAATTTTTTAATTTTCTTTCTTCATCCTCAGAGAAAATGCCTACAACGACAATCTTGTCCTTAAGAGAGAAATATACTTCCTTTATTTCCCCCAGGTGTGCTGAAGCAAAAAACAGATGTGTTGACACAGCAATTAGCAAGTCATTGGAGTCATACCAGAGAGAATTAATCTAGAAAACAGAAACTTTTAAAGGACCCTGGAAGTCTCTATGTTAATTTCATGTTGTCTTGGTTTTCCATAGGTGATTAGAAGCCAGAGCTGTTGACCTTAAAGTTTATATAAAACACCACGGCAATACCATATATCCAGAATATGATATTTTCAGTTATTGGTAACATAAAACTAATACTCAGCATAAAAGTGAAAAGAAATAGTAGTAAAACTTTTTAGTTTTATATTTTTATAGAGAATCAGTGACTTCATGACTTCCAAATACTATATTTCACAATTTTCATTAATTTGATCACATATGTTTAAGTTATTGGTAAAATATCCTGACGATGCATTATACTGCCTAATAAATTATGTATATATATAATGCTGAGAAGAGCAGAGACAGAAATGCTTTGTGTAATTACCACTATGTATGTTTTAAATCCTGACTTGGTCCTTTTTTAGTGAAAAGACCTAAATATTCAAAAATGCTTGACAAAATGACGTTATCATCAAGCTAAGAAGAATTTATTTATTTATTTATGTTTGTTATACCAAATTTTTAACTGGAATATACACTGTCTTAACGATCTGATTTCAATTTTATTCTGTTTTAACTACAGCTTGCTTCCACTAGATGTCAGCATTGTATAAAATTAGAAAATGCCTCCCTTAAAATTTGTTTTCACTACGAAAATAAATGTCCTACTGAAGCACGTATGTTCACATACGTACCATTTTAATATATGCAGCTGATTATCTTTCTAAGTTACCTGGAATATTGTACAAGTGGGTCATTCTGAAAATATTTCGTAATTAAAAATTCTGAAAGGAGGACAAAATTGGTATTAACTTGCAAATGCTCTGAAACGATGTTCACCAACTTTGCCACAATTTGCCTGAATGTCCCTCTTCATTTTTGATGTGTCCCCATTACAGCCATTAGATTTTGAAACAAAGAAGGCATATACTTTTAAAGTAGAGGCCTCCAACGTTCACCTTGACCACAGATTTCACTCCGTGGGCCCCTTTAAAGACACAGCCACCGTGAAGATCAGCGTGCTGGATGTGGAGGAACCCCCGGTTTTTAGCAAACCGCTCTACACCATGGAGGTTTACGAAGACACTCCAATTGGGACCATCATCGGTGCTGTCACCGCGCAAGACCTCGACGTGGGCAGTAGTGCTGTTAGGTAAGAAGAGGAAACATTCTTATTTTCTGTGTGTCAGAAAAAGGGGAAAAAAAAAATGCTGTGTCCAAACCTGGGTGAATGATTCCTGTTTAGTGATAGGAATCTTGAAAATCCAATGCCTTTGCACGATAAGTATTAGGTGAGCGGCCTTGAGATTGGAGCAGAAACCTCTGCTGACAGTCCCTGTAACAGCGTTCGACGGTGGTGTGATGTTGGACGTGGCACTCCAGATAACCAGTCTCAACTTTTTATCTATAAAAGACATTTCATAATACAATCTCAGAGGATGATTTCCAAGGTTAATGATATATTTTCACAGTGCTTAAAATACAGTGGACATGTAATACATTTTTCAATTACTCTAAAATCTCTATCTCTTACCAAAAGTTAGCCTTTGAAAGAGATGGTGTTACCATTTGCAATTTGGAGTTCATTTTTTTTCACTGACGATCGTGTCCACTGATGAAAGCAATTAGAGCCAGTCCTGGGGTAAGATGAATTATGGAATTGTTCAAAGCCCAGACTTTACAAAGAGTTCCTATTGATTTAAAGATAGAAGGCTATGGGGTAGTGAGTCAACAAAGCCATCAATAGAGTAAAAAAATAATCTCTCTCTCCTCCTACCCCAAACCCATACATTCCATTTGCACTACTACTGAATCATTGTGGGATTTCCCTTTTTCTCACTTATACATTGATCCTGCAACATATTTTTTAAAAAAGATTTTAATTATTTGAGAGGAGAGAGGAAGGGAGGGAGTAGGAGGGAAGAAGATTAGGAGAAGAAAAAACATACTTCATGCCGAGTATGATGCCCCATGTGGGTCTCGATCTCACAACCCTGAGATCACCAGCTGGGCCGAAATCAAGAATTGGAAGCTTAACCGACTGAGCCATTCCGAGTGCCCTAGATCCTGCAAAATATTTTGAGTAATAGTAGTATTGATTCAGTTATGTTTCTTCTGTACATTTAATTCCCTGATAGTTGTCCACATCCCACATGTATACAAGTACGGGGAAACACCTCCCCACCACCCACCCACCCCCCAAAAAAGAGAGAGAGCGAGAGAGAGGAGAGACAGAGAGAAATATGTGATTTGTTCTGAATCTTCCACCACTAAGGGGTTGAACCTTCATATAGAAAATCAGACCAAAGAAAAGTAGGCTTTTAATACAAAAACACTATTGACATAGGGAACATGTAAAGATTTTATGCCACGGGGCAATAATAAAAAAATTCATAAATCATTCAGTGGTTACCTCAACACATTCATAGCATATAGGAAAAATCTCGGGAAAGGGCTTGGGCACGGTCAAGCTCTGCTTTTTGTATTCGCCTGGATCTACCTTCCAAACTGATCTGAGTGTCCCCCTTCTTGAAACATGTCAGTGGTCAAGAGAGAACTCTGAAAAAAACACATTTGTTTCGGGAAAGAGAAGAAAAAAGGCGATTACTGAGTGCCCCTACATGTCAGATCGAATGCTGGCTAATTTACTCACTGGATTCAAGTTGTTGTTGTACGTGTCCATATGACAAGGTGATTCACTCTCAATTGAACTACAGAAGTCCGTATGCGTCGCCAGAGTTTGTAGGGGCATTCTCAATCAGCTCCACTCGTAGCTGTTACGTATTAACCCGTTATCATTCATTCAGTCCTATAGTTGAGACCCTGAATGTGTTGTTGATAATTATGAAAGTGGAAAATGCCTGGTGAGTAGATTTACAGGTAATTTCAAGCGTATAAACAGTTATGGAAGAAATATGGAAGGCTGTAAAGAAAGTAATAAAAAGGTAAATAAATATGGATTGAAACTCTTTATGGTTCAATAAATGAGAATTTTGGCACACAGAGAAACAGGGTATCTAGAGAACATGCTATGTTGTTTAATTTACTGTATGTTCCATCCTTGAAGACTGATAAAAGCATGCTAGAGTCAAAATATTAGTAAAGTATGATTTTAATGCAATACATAAAAAAAATCAGAAAGTTTATTAGTAAAACTACCACCTGGTAAAGGTAATGTGAGGGTTACAGACTTGCAAATATAACATGTTTAGAGTTAAGACCCTGGTGTGAGGAATAAAGGAAGGCTACATTTTTGAGATACCCTGGAAATACAGGACTGGTTGGGGGGGTAGTTACTGTCACAGGAGCTGGTGTCTGACAAGAGCTACTTTATGTGGTATAAAGTACTAGTCATTTCTAATGGGTAGCAGCCTGACTCACTAAAGCTGTAGACACAGATGGATCTACGGGAGGGGTTGTCAAAAAACAGACCTGCTTTTGAATTAACATGAAAGCTGTCTTACTTCCATGTCCTTGGAGTAAATAATAAGCTTGAATCGTGTCAGTTGAGGAAACATGGGGTATGAATCATCTTTTTTTTTTTTTTTTTTGGTTTGAAAACATGTTAGTTCACTTAAGAATGATAGTAAAAAGGGGCGCCTGGGTGGCTTAGTGGGTTAGGCCGCTGCCTTCGGCTCGGGTCATGATCTCAGGGTCCTGGGATCGAGCCCCGCGTCTGGCTCTCTGCTCAGCAGGGAGCCTGCTTCCTCCTCTCTCTCTGCCTGCTTGTGATCTCTCTGTCAAATAAATAAATAAAATCTTTAAAAAAAAAAAGAATGATAGTAAAAATATGTTGCGAAAATAAGCATCAGAATGTGAAATTACTTGACATGTTTAGGTACGATCTGTTTGTTTTGTTTTCCTTTGCTTAACTGTCTTTTCACAGGTTGCTGTGCGAGGTATTAATTTAGAGCTATGTTACTCCATGCCAGTGGGTATTTTATTAATATTATTATTTTATTATCACTGAGCACAGCAAAGAACCAGAGTGCAATGGCATTAAGCAAGGATTGAAGCAATTTTGAAGAAAGGCTAGGAGTAATGACTTCAAATGCCTGTAGTTGACCTTTGAACAATGTGGGGGGAGGGGTTCAGGGGCACTGACCCTCTGCCTAGTCAGAAATCCACATCTAACTTGACTCCCCCAAACCTTAACTACCAAGAGTCTACTGTTGACCAGAAGCCTAACGGATAACATAAACAGCAGATGAACATGTATTTTATATGATGTATCTATCATATACTGTATTCTTATAATAAAGTAAGCCAGAGAAATAAAAATGTTATTAAGAGAATCATAAAGAAGATAAAGTAGATTTGTAAAACTGTACTATATCAAAGAAGACTCATGTGTTAATGGACCTGCCCAGTTCTACAAGTTCAACAACCCAGTTCAACAACACCTGTTGTTCAAGGGTCAAGTAGACCATGTCTGGTCCCCTGTCCCTAGTGTAATTTCTAGTTATTGTCTCCCTTTCTCTTCTAGTCTTTGCCATTGGATACGCTGATTTCTTGCTTCTCATCTTCTAATGCTCTATATCCTTTGGCTCTTATTACATAATTCATGGAATGATTTCTAGTTCATCAAGTGAATGGAGTGAGTGTGCCCACTATCAGTGAGTTGGGGGATATTCACAATAGTAGTCTCTTAAGCGTAGAATGAAATTTAAAATACGGGGTGCCTGAGTCTGTTAGGCATCTGACTCTTATTTTATTTTATTTTATTATTTTATTTTGTTTATTTTTCAGAGAGAGAACACAAGCAGGTAAACTGCAGGCAGAAAGAGAAGCAAGCTATCCACTGAGCAAGGAGCCCAATGTAGGACTCGATCCCAGGACTCTGAGATCATGAGCCAAGCTGAAGGCAGACGCTTAACCAACTGAGCAACCCAGGTGTCCCAAGCAGCTGACTCTTGATTTTGGCTCAGGTCATGATCTCAGGGTTATGAGATTGAGACCCACATCAGGCTCTACATTCAGTTTGGAGTCTGCTTCTCTCCCTCTCCCTTTTCTTCTCCCCTTGTTGTCTCTCTCTCTCTCTCTCTCAAAAATAAGTAAATAAAATCTTAAAAAAAATAGTTTATTTGTCCATTCAACTAACTAAAGAACATCTTCATTACTTCAAAGTCTTGGCCATTACTGATAAAGCAGTATAAAGATCTAGGTGCAGGTTTTTATGTGGAAATAAATTCTCAGCTCCTTCGTATCATTATCAAGAAGTGCATTTGCTGGACCATATGGTACGAGCATGCCTAGATTTGTAAAAAGCCGCTCAACTGTCTTCCAAAGGGACTGTAGCATTTTTCATTTTCATTATCAATGACTGAAAGTGCCCGTTGTTTGCATCCTCGCCAGCATTTGGTATTCAGTATTCCAAATTTTGGACATTCTAAAAGATGTGTAGTGGTACCTCATAGTTGTTATAATTTGCTGACTAGACGACTTAGTGGAACATCTTTTCATGGGCTCAGTTGGAATCTGTGTATCTCCTTTGTAAGATTTGTCCTGGTCTTTGACCAATTTTTAAATTGGGTTGTTTGTTTTCATTTTGCTGAGTTCTATGAATACTATTCAGAATAAGCAGGAAATTTAAAGGTGTTGCTCTTCTTTAATATTTTCAACTACAGGATAGATCCGATTGTAAGCAGGAGATTCTGATGGATGAGTAACTTGAGAAGACCCTATCTAAAGCTTACATATACTCAACTATCTCATTGGGAGTAGCTTCTGCTGAGTTTCTGGCTAACGACTACCCAAAGAGATCAAGGAGAGATTACAGATATGCAAATCAAGTCACTGATAAACATATAGAATTCAGATATAGCATTAAGTGATATTCGGCTCAGAACCAGCATTAAGAAATCTGGAAATCAGATTCACCAAAACTCAACTTTTCTCTCTACCTTTGTTCACACAATTCTATTCCCTCCATAAAATAGTTTCTCACCCTCTACTTCATTGCCTTCATCCTCAACTTCTGCCGTCTTAGGTGGCAAAACCATATGGATACTCACTGCCCATTCTTTTTTTTTTTTTTTTTAAGATTTTATTTATTTATTTGACAGACAGAGATCACAAGTAGGCAGAGAGTCAGGCAGAGAGAGAGAGAGGAGGAAGCAGGCTCCCTGCAGAGCAGAGAGCCCGATGTGGGGC